ACGGGGGGGAATTTGGGCCCAGGCACTGGCAAGCAAAAGCAGAATTGCTACATTGCGTGAGAGCGGCAGCTGATCTTGGGGTCGGGGATCAGGTCCCAAGTGTGTATGAGCTCGGAAGTGTCACTGTACCTCCGAGTCTTGGTTGCCTCGCTTGTGAAGGGGGGTCTGTGTCCTCCTGATGGCCTTTCCCTTCCCCTCCTTCCCTTCCCGCCAGAGTTATCGTCTCTGGCCCCTGGTTCCCACATACCAGTCTTTACGTCAAAGGCATCTTAGACTCCAGATCTCTCCGCACCCAGACAGCACCTCAGTCCTCAATCAGCCTCTCTTCGGTGCTCAGACCAGGGTTTCTCAAGCACAGTACTGTTGACATTTGGGGTCAGCTACTTCCTCACTGTGGGGGTGTCCTGTGTACCCTAGGACATCGAGCAGCATCCGTGCCCGACCCTCGACCCCCTAGAGGCAGCAGTGCCCCTTTGCAGCCGTCACCACCCAGGCTGCCTCCAGCCGCCCCCGTGTCCCCTGGGGACTGCCACGATTGCCCCAGTTGGGAATCACTGCCCGAGACAGCTTAATTTCCAAGGCAGAACTGGGATTTGCAGTGATTTCGCCACCTCCCATTCTCGTCTCTGCTCTGTGACTGTGTCCTGCAAATACCCAGAGAAGGCAGCCTGGTGACCTCAAACCCTCCCGGGGCAGGAGACTCGAGAGTCGGCAAGATCGGAGCTAGATTGATCATCTCTTTGGAAATAGCAAAGGGTCTGACGTTCTTGGCTTGTCTTACACACATATTAGGTCCAGGTGGTTCTCAGGCTGAAGATGGTCTTTCTCATTCCCCTTTACCCAGTCAGTGTTTTCACCTCCTCTTCCTCCCCTTCCCCACTCCCCTTTTTTATTTTTGTGAAACTGGCCTTACCTGAAGAAGATTTTGACTTCTTCTCTTTTTATTCCCTCAGCTTGATAAAAGGCCCCCTCTGCAGATTTATGAATAAAACTTAAATCCCAAAAGAGAAAGTCCCCAGGGAGAAGGCAGTCAGGGGACCTGCTGGGCGCCTGCTCTGTGGCCTCTCTGAGCAGGAGTTTGGGGCGAGCAGTGGACTTAGGTAGCGTGGCCCCCGTGGCTTCTAGAGGGAAAGCTCAGACACTCATGAGCATCTTGCCACACAGTTCAGTAACCACACAAAGGCATTTGGAATATTCTGCCACAGGAAGGAGTCTGTTCTTTGGAATCCAGTTAAAATCTTAGCTCACTGCACTGTGCTTAGTCGCTCAGTTGTGTCCCGACTCTTGGCGACACCCTGGACTGTAGCCCACCAGGCTCCTCTGTCCATGGAATTCTCCAGGCAAGAATACTGGAGCTGGTTGCCATGCCCTCCTCCAAGGGATCTTCCCCACCCAGGGATCGAACCCAGGTCTCCTGCATTGCAGGTGGATTCTTTACCATCTGAGCCACCAGCATGGGACCATTCAAACATGTTCTCCATTTTACTTGGAGTGAAGAGACTTTCCAGTTGCAGGATGGAGTGTGTGTGTGTGTGTGTGTGTGTGTGTGTGTGCGCGCGCACATGTGCGCATACCTGCACACCTGACCATCTGAGCCACCAGCATGGGACCATTCAAACATGTTCTCCATTTTACTTGGAGTGAAGAGACTTTCCGGTTGCAGGATGGAGTGTGTGTGTGTGTCTGTGTGTGTGTGTGTGTGCGCGCACATGTGCGCATACCTGCACACCTGCATCTGTGAGCTACCCAGAGCTACAGTCTCTCTCAGCCCTCTGCTGTGGGCAGGCTCCCCGTGGTGCCTAGGCTCCCATGCCCTCCTCCCATCCAGACCCTTCCTGCCCACGGAGGGCCTCTTGCTGCGTTAGGAGACTGACTTCGGACTCCAGGACTAGAGCTGGCCAAAGGCCAGAGGAGGGTGTGGGGAGGTAGAGATAGTAGGTCTCGGGGAGAGCTGCAGGCAGATCTGGCCAGCCCCCTGAGGGAGCCAGAGTGACCCCCGGACAGCCTGCGGGCACGTGGGTGAGGCCTGCTGCCATGGAGAGTATTCCAGACCACCCTGAGAACCTGCCTTGGAGAGACAGGAGGTAGAGGGATATCTTCAATGACCTTGCATGGAACCCCTCTGGGGCCCTTGTTCTGAGCAGGAGGAAGGTGCCTAGAAGTGGGAGGCGGGGAGGAAAGAATGGTAAGAGGAGGCTGAGGGCGAGAGTTGAGGAGTCGTAGATGTTGGCACTGGGGCCCGTCAGAAGGGTCATGGGAGAAGGTCGCAGAGGCCCCTGGTTGCTATACATTTCTAATCTTTGGGGAGAGACTTTATTTACTATAAGTAAGCTCGAACTATGATACAAGACTGAAGAGAACAGATAATGAGAGATGTGGTTTCATTAGGTGCTGTGATCAGGGAAGCCTTCCTGGAGGTGGTGTACTTGAGCTGGGCCCACATTCGAAAGAAGGAAGATAGCTCGGTTGAGGAGAACAGCTTTAGCAAAGAGGGAGAGCTGAGAATTTGCATGTGTCTTCATGCTTGTAAGAAGATCAGACTTTTTTTGGTAATATTTCTTAAACATTACCGGTAAGATAATAAGGTTGGGTCCCCAGCTCAGAAAATGCATGGTACGACAAAGCCTAATCATATGAATCAACCTAGAAATGGTTGAAAACAGCTTTTCAACAAGATGCAAATGAGACTGTCAGCCTTAAGAGAAGGTCAGGCTCTGCAAGTGGCTGAGTATTGTAGGAGTTAGTAATGAGTTGGATGAAGAAAAAGAAGACTTGCTTCATCAAATGAAGGGAAAACTTAGAGCTGTGTGGCATCACCAGTTCAGGCGCTGACATAATCAACATTCAAAATGATTTTGCTGGGCTGGAAGGTGCCTAAGAAACAGGGTGAAATTCAGTAGAAGTGAATGTAGACCCCACCCTTAAGCCAAAATATTAAAAAAATGGTCGTTCAAGCAAGGACAGAGATGCAGCAGATGCAGGCAAATCCTGCACTTCTCTGCAAGCTTGGGGAGAATCTCCAGAGCCAGGTGGGTTTGAATGCGGGTCCCACCCAGAGCAGACTACCTCTAGACAGCTGCCCTCCGCTCGGCCAGGCCTTCCCCAGACTCATGCACTGCGTTAGGGGAACGTTTGCTCAGAGCCCCTGGCAAATGGAACGTACATTGGGAATGGCCTCCAGGGGGGCAGAGGAAGCAGAAGTCCTAAAACCCACGGAGCCTGGAGGACCTGAGGCAGTTGGGCTCAGAGAACACCTAAGGGGAAGTGGTATGGGGCCATCTCCTCACATTTCAAGAACTGTGATGTTGAGAAAGTATCACACGTACTCTGTGTGGTTCCATAGGTGGAACCAAGCCCAGTAGGTGGGTGCGAAGGCGAGAAGGATTTTAGATCCGGACAGAGTGGAGGTTTCTAATGGAGCGGCTCAGAAAGGTCGGCAGGAGGTGTCCTTGGAAGGAAGAGAGAGTCGGGTGTTGGAGATGGGATTACACAGGGAAGGTTTCTATACTGGTTGGGGTGGGCTAAGGGCTCTGTGATTCCTGCCCCCCCCACCCCCTTACAGTTCTAAGCCTCTGTGAACTCTCATATAGCGGAAACTTAACAGGTGAGTGTTGAGGCAAAGCCAAACCACAAGCTATCTTTCGCTCATTTACTCAGCGTTCAACAAACATGCGTTCTGTTCCAGACACTTTTCCAGGTGCTGGGGCTGGAAGAGTGAACCCAGCAGACCTTCAGAAGCAGATCAGCAGCTGGGGGCAGGGGTGGCTGACTGCAGAGGGAGACTGAAGGAGGAAGCAGAACAGGCTCCATCTTGAAAGCAGGACTCTCATCTTGGACCGGACTGTGGAGTTTGAGCTCTAAGCCCCGTATCTATGGAAACGACAGACCAACTGGAAAACCAGGCCCCCGGAAGGAAGAGCCCAGGGCTTGTACCTAGAGTCTCCATTGCCTAAAAGAATACCCTAATTATCTGTGTAACTGGATAGAATCATACATTCTGTTATGCTTATTGGGGTATGACCACAGGCCTATTGATAATTGTCCACTGTTAACTACCTAGGCTTAAGGCATAAGAATCACGGGTTAACTTTGTATCTTTCTTTGCCTTTGTTCAGACTTGTTTCAGGGAATTTGGGGAGGTGGGTTTGTGCATGAACACTTAGGGTATGTAAGGTTTTCCGAAAAACTGGTCGGGGTCCTTGGCTAAGAGGAGACTCTCTGACTTGGGCCTGCCGGTCTCCACTATCTGCAATGTTCTTCTGAGTGAGTTTGTTACGGGAACACATGGCTACAACAAGATCAAGGAACTTTCAGATGGATGGAGGCATTTTGCATCTCCATCAACCCAGTTTATACTTGTCGAAACTCATTGAACTAAACACATGAAGTCGGTGCCTTTTATTTTATATGAAGTATACCTCAGTAAGGGCTTCCCCGCTGGCTCAGCAGGGAAAGAATTCACCTCAATGCAGGAGACTCAGGAGAGGAGGTTTGATCCCTGGGTCTGGAAGATCCCCTGGGGGAGGGCATGACAACCCTCTCCAGTATTCTTGTCTGGAGAGTCCCATGGACAGAGGAGCCTGGTGGGCTACAGTCCATGGGTTGCAAAGAGTCGGACACGACTAAGTGAGTAAGCGCGTGCCACACACACACACACACACCCTCAATAAAGATGATTCAGAAAACCAAAGCCCTCATAGACTCAGCGCTCATGGAATACACACACACACACACACACACACACACACACCCTCAATAAAGATGATTCAGAAAACCAAAGACCTCATAGACTCAGCGCTCATAGAATCTTTCATCCCGGTGGGGGGCGGGGGAAGAGACATGAAGCAGATGAACGAACACATCCGAGGGATGGAGGCAGGCACGGTTAAGGAGAACCTGCCAGGGAAGGAGGTGAGCGTGGCCCGTAGTTAGATCGGCGGGAGGCTGGAGGAAGGGCACGCGGTTTCAGGGCCGATCTTGCGCCTTTGCTGTCTTCCCAGGAGTACGAGAGCTTGGAGCAGGAAAACACTGTGCTGCGGAGGGAGATCGGGAAGCTGACGGAGGAGCTGAAGCACCTGAGCGAGGCTCTGAAGGAGCACGAGAAGGTGTGCCCGCTGCTGCTGTGCCCCTTGAACTTCGTCCCCTTGCCGCGGCCCGACCCCGTGGCTGGCTGCCTGCCCCGGTGAACCAGCCAGGAGCCCGGCGAGTCGGTGGTTTTCACCTCCCCGGAGGAGGCTTCTCTCCACATCCGTGTGCCTGGGTCACCTCTTTGGAGCTCCGGGCTGGGTCCTCGGTGGCCCAGGCTCAGCGTGACGCTCCCCGCAGGAGCCCGATTCAGAGCCTCCAGCGGGGCCAGGCCGGAGTCGCTGTGCTTCTGCTTTGGCAGCTAGTACCTTCCCTTGCAGAGTCATTTCCGCTAGCATATGCATAATAAAGGCGTTGTCGGGACTTCCTTGGTGGTCCAGTGGCTAAGACTCCCAGCTCTCCCAATGCAGGGAGCCCCTGGTTCCATCCCTGGTCAGGGAACTAGATCCCACATGCCACAACGGAAGATCCTGCATGCTGCAGCTAAGATCCAACTTGGCCAAATAAATAAATAAAAATATTTAAAAAAAAAAAAAAAGGCGCTGTCTTCTCTCCTTTTGGCCAAGTTCTTGGAATTTAGAGACACAATACCTTTCCTGTTTCTGAAGAGGTCATCTCCTGTTCCCTCAGGTGGTTTCGAAGCTCCTGGGTCTGGTTTCCCCGCCTGATCATCACCCCCAAGGACATATCCAAGCTAGATGGGGTGGCACCTGGTGGGGGTGGTTCCCCCTGCCCTCCCCCAGAGGCGTGCTGGGCCTGACTCCTGCTTGTCATATGCTCTGCGTGGCCCTCCACCCTGGTCAGCTTCCTCACCCAGGCTGGATTGTCATGGAAGATTTTCTATTCCAGGCTGATTTTCTCCTGAGTCTGTACACTGACTGTTTTCTCTGTACACTTGTTGGTCACCTCCCATTCCATTAGGACTCATAGGATCAGGCAGCAAGTTTCCTTTATAGAAGTCTGAATCACTATAGAATGGGAAATTGTTCAGTTGCTAAGTCATGTCCTACTCTTTGTGACCCCATGGACTGCATCACACTAGGCTTCCCTGTCTTTCACTGTCTCCAGGAGTTTGCTCAAACTCGGGTCTGTTGAGTTGGTGATGCTCTCCAACCATCTCATCCTCTGTTGCCCCTTTCTCCTCTTGCCCTCAGTCTTTCCCAGCATCAAGATCTTTTTCATTTAGTCGACTCTTCGCATCAGGTGGCCAAAGTATTGGAGCTTCAGCTTCCGCATCAGTCCTTCCAATGACTATTCAGGGTTGATTTCCTATAGTATTGACTGGTTTGATCTCCTTGCTGTCCAAGGGACTCTCAAGAGTCTTCTCCAGCACCACAATTCAATAAAGCACCAATTCTTTGGTGCTCAGCCTTCTTTATGGACCAACTGTCACATCTGTACATAACTACTGGAAAAACCATAGCTTGGTCTATACGGACCTTTGTTGGCAAAGTGATGTCTCTGCTTTTTAATATGCTGACTAGGTTTGTCATAGCTTTCCTTCAAAGGAGCAAGTATCTTTTAATTTCATGGCTGCAGTCACTGTTCACAGTGATTTTGGAGCCCAAGAAGATAAAATCTGTCACTGTTTCCACTTTCCCCTCTTCTATTATGGGACCAGATACGATGATCTTAGTTTTTTGAATGCTGAGTTTTAAGCCAGCTTTTTCACTCTCCTCTTTCACTGTCATCAAGAGGCTCTTTAGTTCGTCTTTGCTTTCTGCCATTAGAGTGTTATCATCTGCATATCTAATGTTGTTGATATTTCTCCCAGCAATCTTGATTCTAGCTTGTGATTCATGCAGCCCGGCATTTCTCATGATGTACTCTGCATGTAAGTTAAATAAGCGAAGTGACAATATACAGCCTTGATGTACTCCTTTCCCAATTTTGAATCAGTGTACTTCTAAGTCTGGTTCTAACTGTTGTTTCTTGACCAGCATACAGGTTTCTTAGGAGACTGGTAAGGTGGTCTTGTATTCCCATCTCTTTAAGAATTTTCAACAGTTGTTGTGATCCATACAGTCAAAGGCTTTAGCATAGTCAATGAAGCAGAAGTAGATATTTTTCTTGAATTCCTTGCTTTTTGTATGATCCAATGGATGTCGGGTATTTGATCTCTGGTTCCTTTGCCTTTTCTAAATCCAGCTTGTACATCTGTAAGTTAGTTCACCTACTACTGAAGCCTAGCTTGAAGGATTTTGAGCATATCTTGCTAGTATGTGAAATGAGTGCAGTTGTATGGTAGCTTGAACATTCTTTGGCATTGCCCGTTTTGGGGATTGGAATGAAAGCTGACCTTTTCCAGTCCTTTGACCACTGCTGGGTTTTCCAAATTTGCTGACATATTGAGTGCGGCACTTCTCCTATTTAAACAAATGTTAGAGTAGATGAGGAGAGGAGAGGCTATTTCCTTTCTAAGGTCCCAGTCAACTCTACTCTTCCAGAAAAATCAGAAGCAAGCCACGTTGAAGGAGGCCCCAGTGAGTAAAGCAAAATGGGAGAGCAAGTCCCATCCCCTCCCAATTCTCTTTTATTCCTGGAACAAAGGAGTTGTAGAAGGTGGAGCCAGCCCACATAAAGGGAACAAGAAATAGGGACAGAAAAGAAAGTGCAAATATAACCAACTGTAAATGCAGTTGGTTAAAAAAGAAAGAAAGGAAATAGAAAGCAACCCTTCCAGGGGTGAAGAAATAGCTGATTTCATACCAGGATCCCATTTGGTTGCTCCCCACAAGCCTCTTTTTCTTCTCCTTTCTCTTTTCTTCTCCTGCTTGCTGGAGTCTTGCCTGGTGTCTCCTAACTCACACAGGCTGACGGTGACAAGATTTTCCTGGTCAGAGGTACTGGAAGGCTGCCGTTAGATAACAGGGCCTGTGCCTGCGGGCTTCTCAGTTGGCGCTAGTGGTAAAGAGCCCGCCTGCCAATGCAGGTTAGCCTAAGAGATGCGGGTGTGATTCATGGGTCAGGAAGATCCCCTGGAGGAGGGTGTGGCAATCCACTCCAGTATTCTTGCCTGGAGAATCCCATGGACAGAGGAGCCTGGCGGGCTGCAGTTTCATGGGGTTTCATAGAGTTGAACACGACTGAAGCAACTTAGCACATAGCACGTGCCTGCTGGCAGGACCAGGTCAAAGCATCCTGAATGCAGCTGTTTCAAGGGGATGGTGGCATTATCTAGCCTCACAGCTTGTGGGATCTTAGTTCCCCAACCAGGGATTGAACCTATACTCTCAGCAGCAAAAGCACAGAGTCCTAACAACTGAACCGCCAGGGAATTCCCAGCGCAAGAGACTTTGAAATCATCCAGCCTCATCCCTTCACGTTGCAGATAAGGGGTGTGGCAAGGGGGAGGGGATTGCTCACGTGCACCCATAGGTGCCAAGCAGAGCCAGGTTGTGACTCCGGCGGATCTGACCATGGATCCACTCTAGTGGACAGAGTCAGGCTGCTGCTGCTGGGCCAAGTCCGGGCAGGGTCTGGCTGAGCCGGTGGCTAAATGTGGTGTCACTGTCAGCACCTCACCAGGCTGCCCTGTCCCGGCGAGTGGCCCTGCTGTGAAGGATGGACTCAGAGCCGGGGTCCCAGGGGCCAGTGTAGCTGGGAGCATGACACGCGGAGGGTGCGTCTTGAACCCGCAGGCATTTTGCTGCAGCTATCTTTCAACTCCAGCACTTTCCCGAAGGGAGCATTTTACCCTCCCGCTGGGGCTCACCTGGACCCTGCAGTACTTCCAAGCTCCAGCTTGCAGACCCCTCTAACTGTCCTGTGACTGATCTGCTCCGGTCACTGCTGATCACCCAGTCCGCTGCTGACCCGGGGGCATCTGAGCCTGCCAGCCCCACTGGCCAGAGCCTCCTGGCTCCATGTAACAACCCAAGGCCCAGTCCCCTACCATGTAGGTGCCCTGGGCCCCTGAGGCCTTCGGGTCCCCCTAGGTCCTCTCCCCTGACTGGGAGACTCGGAAGAAGGGTCCAAGGAGGACAGTGGGGAAGGGCTGTATCCTAGAGGTGAGAGGGCATCCTTTCCCACCCACAGTCCACAGGCCAGACCTCAGGCCTCGCCCAGCCACAAGGGAGGTTGGGAAATGAAATTCAGCCACGTTCTTGGGAGCTGGAGGAACAGGCTTAGGTGAGTATCTGCAGTCTCTGCCATAAGAAGACCCAGCTTTTGCTCCACAAACCTCGCTGAAACTGCCCCCTTAAAGGTCCCTAGAAGGCTCTTTTTGTGCCAAATCTAATGGGTATGTCCCAGGCTTTGTCTTCCTTTACTTCCTAATGGCCTGTGACACCAGCTTCTGTGCTGCCTGTCAGTATAAAGGGCTCTCCTCTCCTCGGAGCCTCGATCACCACCTCCCCCTATACTGACAACTCCCCCATCGGTACCCACAGCCCAGCTGTCCCTTCGGAGGTCAGACCTGTCTACTCAGCTGTCCATCATGTGTCTCTGAGAGGACCTCTTACAAGCGTTTCCCCCTCAACATGTTCAAAGCTGGACTCTTGGTCGCATCATCTTCTCTTCAAATATGCTTCTCAGTCTGTTTCTACCTGTCTGTTAGAAGCTCCAACATCCACCTGGTCAGAAACCTATACATCATATTTGATTCCTCCAAGTCCTTTGGTTATGTCTCCAAAATACCCCACCACCCCGATCCAGCCACTTGGCTCCAATGTGCCAGCCGCCTCATATGCTTATCAAGAACTTCATTCAGATTTTTGGATGAGCTCTGGGGCTTCCTCCCTAAGCTGGGTGCTCACTGAGTTTGAGCTCACATTTAGGTCCCCCCACGTTTGATGTCAACAGTCAATTTGGAGTTAGGGAACCAAAACTATGGTAGCCCAGGGTAGTGAGTCAACGGTGATGGGGCAAAGTTCCCTCCAAGATAACTGGAGATGTGACAAGTGTTCTGAAAACCAAAGAGAGATCGACTTGGTTGCTAAGATCGTCTCTGCCAAGATCCCAGTAACAGCAGGGGCTGTCTCAGCTCTCCACCTCCTACTCTGAAAAGGTAGAAAATCTGTATAAATTACTCCAAGAGGGACAGGGGAGGTAGACCTGTTCTGGAGACTGGATTTGATTGGTTATGTTCACCCTGCTGCAGTGTGCCAGACACTGGGCCCTGTGTGTGAATTAAATCTGCGAGTGGCTCTTTGTTGGGCTGGAAGGAAGGGAAGCAGGCTGAGAAAGGCCCTTTCAGAATAGAAAGTGTCAGGGAGGGAGGAAGTCCTTCCTTCTCACCCATGCAGCCACACCACTTCCTGTCCGCAATCTTGCCCCGTATTGCACCACCGCAGCCTTGAAACCTGGGGTTTCCATCACTGAATCAGGCCCCAATTTGGGCCTCAAACCTTGGTTGAGAATGATGACTCTTAACGGACAGGAAAGTGAGAGACCCAAAAGCCCCTCTCTTCTTTCCCAT